CGATCCATACATACATTCACACATACTTATAAACATACTTGCATAAAAGCATACATACAAGCATACATGAACACACACATATGTACATGCATGCATACATGCATGCATATATATATGTATGTATGTATGTATGTATATATATATATATATGTATGTGTGTGTGTGTGTGTGTGTGTGTGTGTGTGTGTGTCGTGTTGTGTGTGTTTCGTGTCTGTGTCTGTGTCGGTGTCTGTGTTTGTGTCTGTGTCTGTGTCTGTGTCTGTGTTTGTGTCTGTGTCTGTGTCTGTGTCTGTATCTGTGTGTGTGTGTGTCTGCGTATGTGTCTGTATCTCTGTCTGTCTGTGTCTGTGTCTGTGTCTGTGTCTGTGTCTGTGTCGGTGTCTGTGTCTGTGTTTGTGTCTGTGTCTGTATCTGTGTCTGTCTGTGTCTGTATCTCTCTCTGTGTCCGTGGTCCGTGTCTGTTTTTGTTTTTGTTTATACTTAAAAGAAAATTTTTTGTTGATTTTATTGTATTGATTCATGTGTAGGCGTATACAAATCATTGCTACTTCTACTAAAACTAGGTTGGAGGCTTATTATCGAGCTGTCGGCAGGCGAACTCCATCGGCGTCGTGATCACTAAATAAACCACAAACACTTTACTATCAACGCGTACCGGACTTCATATGAGATGTGCCCTGTTGCATACTGACCTAGTACCTCTCATATTACGGGAGTGTGAGTAATACATGTCGAACAAGTGTGAAGGAGGACCTTAAAGGGGTAGGCAAAAAACGGGTAGGCAGTATGATTCACAGTCACTCGCCGCCATCCTCTCGGCCGTAAATTGCTGGCCAACTAACCATAACCGAAAGCGTCAGCGAAACGGTCACTCGCAGCGTGTGCCTATGACTGTGTGTCTGCATTTGCAAGTCACACAGATTGCATGCATAGAAATGTGGTGTGTACACAATAACCTGGGGTCATGTGCATGCCAGCGTGACTCTGCGTATACGCAACTACCGCGACTCACGGTGTGACGGGTCTGCAGATACCTTGTGATATGCGACTACACCTACCTACACGGTCCTCCTCGCTACAGCTGAACGCCACTACCACTACCTACCGTCCCGTTAAGGTGCACTAGTGTCCTGTCCCAGCACTCGCACAACTCTGGGCCACCGCCAACCCCACTCAGACATACGGCGAGTCCGAGGGCGGGGCTGCTGGGTCCAGGCCTAGCTGCTTCATCTTAACGGCAATTTCAAACAGGTAGTCATAGCACTCACACATTGCCTTGGCCTTCTCCCAGGTATCGCCCCACACATACACCCCGTGTCTGCGCACCAGCACGGCACAAGTCTCGGGATACTCCTGTGAGATTGAAGCACAAAGTACAGAACTTGTGGGCAGCCAGATTGGTGCGGGTGTATTCTTTGGGTCAGCGAGTAGACAAGACAGACATGCGGACCTCCAGCCATGTAGACCACTAGGTGCTCCTAACTCCCCCACTCGATAACCACGTGCTTATATATTTATATATGTGTGTGTGCGTGTGTGTGTGTGTGTGTGTGTGTGTGTGTGTGTGTGTGTGTGTATATATGTGTGTGTGTGTGTG